ATGATACTCTCTCTATTTCATATTATAAGTCGTTTTTAACTTTTTTCTTAGTCAAATTTGTTTTAGTTTGATCAAGTTTATAGATAAATTTAGCAATATTTACAAAACCAAATTAGTTTCATTAAATATTTTGATAATATGTTTATATTGTGTTGAAATTATTACTATATTTTCCTATAAACTTAGTCAAACATAAAAAAGTTTGACTAGAAAAAAATTAAAACAACTTATAATATGAAACTGATGGAGTTTTTTCCCCTCGGATTTATCTCTCTTTTTTTTGCCGTCCAATGATGTGAACCAAGTAGGGGGTGAAAATGGATCGGAAACCAAGTAGGGGTGAAAATGGATAGGATATTATCCGCTTCGCTCCATTCCGAATTTGTCTAAAGTGAGGATATGGTAAGTAGGGGTGAAATTTGATCCGCTCTGAATCCGTCCGAAATGAGGATATGGTATGAGTTTCTAAAAATCCTGCGGATATGGATGCAGATGCGAATAGTATAATGCAGATGTGGTATCTCTAAAATCCGGTGATGCAGATTATCTGGCATTTCTATCGGATTATCCGATAGGCCATTTACCGGATAATCGGAAATTACTTTTGCAAATAACATGAGCTGGTCTATCCTATGGATTAGTTCATCAATTAACCTAGATTTTTTTTATTCGATGCTTTCATCGTCTCATCTCACACTTGTGTAGTACCGTTTTTATGTTATGTACATCATGTATTCATGTTGTTTAGCACTTAAGCATATATTATTATGATGGGTAGTCCATTGATTATTGTATTGCTATTCGTTGCATTATCAACTCTATATCGTATTGATTGCTTATACACATAAAATCCAATAAATTAAATCCATTTCCAAACCGACTCCGCACCATTTCTGACATCCGAAATAATCCGCTCCACATCCGCATTCGTACGCTATCCGTACCCGCTCCGAATATGTTTAAAATATATGGTTTAGGATATGTCATGACCATTATTCATCCGAATCCGGTCCGTTTTCACCCCTGGTAAGGGTTTTTAACTATCTAGTGGACATGGATGCAGATGCGGATAGTAAGGTGCCGATGAGAATGATGATATGATATTGGTAACATACGGCAAATGCGGATTATACGGTGAACGTTTTTGGCGGATAATCCAAATTTCACGGCCCATCTAACCACTCAATTTGAGAGTTTCAGAGATCACATGGACTGTGAGTTTGCACAATACAGTTTATTAGTTTGATAGTAGCGGATTATCCGCCAAAATCTCTGAAACTCACAACCTTACACAGTAGAGTATACTCCCATCCTAATTTTCCATCGGTACTGTATATGTTGATTAAATATGCTTATTGGCAAATGACATGTTAATGGCTAATATCATATTGTGATATTGGTACTGTATTGTTGCTCACTTTATTGATCAATACATGTTGAATCGATTATATATGTCACGCCCAGAAATTCCCGAATAGAATTCCAAGCAGAATGTGCAATAAAAACCCATGTCCAGGACCGGCCAGGGTACACAAACGACAAAGTTGACATACAGATCCACGTCTTACAAACATTATAAAAGTCTTACATAAATGTAGCGGAAAATTAAAAGATAACTGGAGTTAAGCCTTGACATTGATTGCAGTGGGGAACACCTCTCCACAGGCACCCTCGACGGCACAGACGAAGCCTACTCCTCGGAAAAGCCACCATCGGAAGCATACTCGAACTCTGGGGGTTGGGAGATAGAGCAAGACTGAGTACTACCCACTGTACTCAGCAAGTCATACCGGAACGGAGGGTATAATGCAAGATATAACCAAAGGAGGCTAAAGGAGTTCATTTGCTTAAAGCGAGCATTTATAAACAGTAGTTGAAAGCAGTAAAACAGTTGTAATAGTAAAACAGTTGTAATAGATAACCATCAATTAACCCAATCACTGCTCAATGCTACACCACGTTGAGACAGGCCCAAACCACCACCTGAACTAACCAGTTCCATTAAACTAAGCTAGGGGTGAGACTAATCACGGTGAATCTGGTTGACCGCCCATAACCGCGGGCATGGCTATTCGAATAGTTTTACTCTGATCAGAGGTGTACAACTGTACCGACAAGACACAGCTCCACGACACGTTCTCGTGCGCCGACATGCCACTACGACATACCGGAAAGAGGCCGTGACAGGACCCCTTCGCATAACCCCCTCTAACCAAGCACACCACACCTCAGGTTTCACCCCCACTCCTCGACAGGCAGCGGACAGTCCCCTCTTGTGCCAAGGTGAATCCGAAAGCCGCATAGGCCGTCGCAGGGCCCATCCGAAATTGATCACGCTTACCCTTGCCTGGATACGTCAGCTAGAGGAAAGCTACACTATAAGTCCAGCTGTTGCCCACGCTGGCTTGTGGTAAGTACGATAAGTTCTTCCAGGGCATCCCGCGAACCGGTCCTTAATTGCCATGGGCACGACCATTAAAACCATGCACCCACAGCCCACCATTTAGTGTATTTTAATTAACCAACACCACTGCGGTGGCACTAATCCAAAATCATGCTAGAGTCCAAAGTCTATGCATTAATGTGACTCCCCCATTGTGTACTAGTTGATCTAGGCATGGCTAAGCAATTTCTAATCCAACATCTAGTCATGTTACAACCCAAGCTAGCAAAGGAATAAGATAAACAAATAGTATGGCTGAGACGGTAGGTAAACATCCCATGGTAACGTTATAAAACAATGCAATATTTAAAGAAGACAATAGAGCATTTGCAATATGGGATCAATATGTTCAAGTGACAAGCATGACTTGCCTTGCTCTGCAGCTGGAGAGACTTCGGTGACTATCTCGAAGTACACCGAAGCGTCGGGAGAGCCGGAATCTATGTGACATACAAGGCAAATAATGCAAACAAGCTATAAGATTACTGAAACAGAGAACAAAACCATTTTTAATGTATTCTTTGCATTTTTCTTGATTTAATGAGACTTGAATGGGCTTAAACGGAGCACGGATGAATTTTCTATGAATTTTAGAAGATTCACTGTGTTTTAACTATAATAGAAAAATCCTTAATTGAATTATTGCGCAATTAATACCCCTGGTGATGTCAGCAAGAGGGGAGGGCGGCACCGGCAAGCGGGCCCCACATGTCGTAGGCTCGGGGTGCACCAGTCCACGGTGGACCAAGTCCACGGGACCGGGGAGGGGTGCACCACGTGGCGCGCACGTGGCGGCCACGTGGGCTGCCACACGGGCGGCGGCGAACGGCCCCGATCTACCCGAGGGTAGATCGGACGGCTGCGAGCGCTCGCGGCTGGCGCGCACGGGCGGCTTAAGCCAGCCCGGCGGTCATGGCGCGCGGTGGCGCAAGACGGCGACCGGGGGCGACTGGCCGACGACGGAGAGCGGCGGCGACGCGGCAGTGCGGGCAGCGCTAGCGGCGGCTAAGCGGCTAGGCAGCGGCAACGTGGCTAGGCGGCGCGACAGAGAGAGAGGAAGGGGGAGGGGCTCCTCACCGACGATGATCGACAACGGCGAGCGGCGGAAGGCGACGACGACGGAGGGACGTGCTCCGGGACGACCTATGGAGCAAAATGAGGGAGGTTAGAGAGGGAGAGAGAGACCATGGGTGGCTAGGGCACCGGCCGAATGCGGCGGCCATGGCAAGCTCACCGGCGCGAAGGGGAACGGCGGGTTCCGACGGCGAATGTGACCGCAGAGATGGCGGACGGGGTCACGCTTGAGCTCGCGAACCCGACGGCGGCGATGGCGAGGCTCGGCGGCGGCTCTAACGGCGGCGAGTGTCGGCCGGAGGTGGCTAAAGCGGCGGCGGCGGGTGGTGCACGGCGCTAGGACGGAGGAGAGCTCGGGAGCGTTCGGCAAAAATGGGAAAAAGGTGGAGGATGCGGGGGTAGTTTATATAGCCGCGAGAAGGTCGGACGTGGCCGGGAGGAGCGGGAATGGACCGACGAAGTGGGGGAGGTGGGGAGAGAGAGAGGCGGCCATCTCGAGCGTGGGCGTGGGTGGGAAAGTGGGGCAGCGGTTGCGGGGGAGTGCGGGGTGCGCGCGGAGAGCGGGCGATGTGCGCGAGCACGCACGGGAGAGGCGGGCGGCGGCGGTTGCGGCGCGGCGCGGCGCCGGCCGGAGGTTGGGAACGAGACCGACATGTCCCGAAGGAAGGAGGGGGCGTGGGGCGGCTGGGCTGTGGCCTCGGGCCGGCCCAGCAGGGAGGCGCGCGCGGAGAGGGGGAAAATGGGCCGACGGCCCATTTTGGGAAAAAGGAGGGGAAAAAAAGAAAAAGGGAATTGATTTTCCAGGGATTTGATAATTGTTTGTGCTCAATTTTAATTGATTAAAATTATTTCTAGAGCTTTGAAAATTCTAAAAAAAATTATGATAGCATATTTTGACATGTAGGACCCAAGAAAAATTCCATATGTCATTTTCGATTATTCATTGCATTTATTAAATTAGAGTTTCTCTCTAGCCATTACACAAATAATTTCTTGAGACCATTTATTAATTTAATTTAGGTTTGGGAGAAGAACTTTAGGTGTGACAATATATATATTCAACACAGACAGTATTGATGAATATCAGGGCTACATGGACATTTAGGATTGAGTCCATGTAGCGGACATGTAGCGATGCGATGGGAAAAACAAAAATCGCATTGCTACATGGACTCAATCCTACAACCCTCAATTAAGTCGCTCTCCCACTAAGTGCACTATACTTGTATACTATAGTACCGTTCGTGTGTGATTGTAGTTAAAAAAAATTGTCAATTGACATATGCACGCAGGCAGGCAGATTGGATATCTCCGGAGCACAATTACCTGAACCTGAAAACCCATCTATCCCATCTATCTGTGCAGAATAACTACCCTGGCATGGCACCATGAGGAGGACCGTAACAGCACACTAGCAAGTTAAGAAACAAATAGGAGGACCGTAACTCCAGTTAGTATGTGGTATCAGCATCACATGCACAAATATCTATCAACCTCCCTCAGGCAAACAATATTCTGAATCTCAAGAGTTCTGAACAGTGTACAATCATATTCTGCACAAGATAAGAGGACTGCTAACGTTTTACTCCCTCCCTCCGTTGAAAATATAAGAAACTATTGAATCTGAGTAGAATCATTTTTATCCAGGTTCATAATAGTAGGATATGTCCCATTTAGTTTTTCTTATATTTTGAGGACGAAGGTAGTACAAGACAATTCAATTTCTGTTATCACCAGACTTGATTGGCACAAACGATGCGAGCAAAAGGGCGTCCAAGGGGCCACTTCATTATTCCCCCTAGTCTTCTTTTTCCCCATGACTACTGTTGACAGAGGCCGGACCCAGGCGGCAAGTGAATGGCATCTCAAGCCCTATAGACCCGCACGGCAAGAGTTGTTGCTCAAACCGGTCCTTGTCGTTTCCACAAACAAATTTACGACCCATGGGGTGTAAAATGTCTAAGTGACCACGACAAAACGCGCAGCTCTTCCTGTACTGCCCAAGAGGCTCTTCTGCAACCACCAACCATGCATGGGTTGAACATCAATCAATATCATACCGACCAGCTAACAGGAAGTAAGGAAAGAAAGAAAGAAATTCATATACTGCATAGATACATACCAATGATGGTGCATGCTTCAACGACAGGAATTGGGAGTGGAAGTAGCAGATCCGAGGAGACGGAGCTGCTGCTGGGTGGCCTCTCAGCTCCTGGGACTGGAAATGGCAGGTAAGAGCAGACAGAGCTGCTGCTGCTGGGAGGCTTGTAGTGCACCTCAGCAAAGAAGCGCTTGATCTTTTTGCTCTTGCGGGAGCGAGCCCAGAAGTTGATGTGGAACCACACCTGGCCCCTGAAACGTACACTGGATTCCATCAGAGGCTTCACAGCATCAAACTCCTCATCCTGCAGGCAAAGATCGATTATATATGTCATGTCATGCAGCTCTGGGCAGGAACTAATTGCGATGAAATTGATAAGGACTAATTGAATTCCATCTCGAATGAAGCGAAGTGGACATACTGGGTGTTTGGCATTGTAATGGTGGAGAGCGTAGCGGACATGGATAATGATGAAGAAGTCACGCTCCCTGCATCCAATGCAATTGGAGAAATTTGATTGATCAGTTATTTGTTCAATTGGTGTATGGAAAATAATACAAGTCTCATGTATGAAACTGCCATCGGTTTCACAAACTGCAGATGTCAGAGACTCACAAGCTGAAGTTACAACATAGACACAGGCCAACAAAGCAGAGTTGATATGAATGATTTCCATGCTGGAGAGACAGCAGTTCTTCATTTGAAAGAGAAGGGGCACTACATCAAAACGAGATGGCATTTTGTTTGGCTTGCAACTCTCAAGGGAAACCTTTCATTGACAGTAAATGGATCTACCTATGCTATGTGCAAGTGGATATTGCGTAATCAAACTTAATGAGTCTTTAACACACAATAGCATAAGATCTTTTAAGTTAATTACTCTTTTCTTCTAGGTTTAGTAGTGATCTGTGACTTTGTTGCTTCCAGATTTTACAGGGCTGATTCCTAGAGCTCCAAAGCAAGGAAAGGAACACGTCACAGGAAAGTTTGTGCTATTCCAACTTCTTAACAACACACGCGCATGCACCAAGTAATTGAATATAATTTCAATTGTAAGTTCAGTTGGACTTGTATAACTTGGTGAACTTTTGATACACTGCACTCAAAAAAGTATCTGATGCTTGTACTACTACTTTCAATACCAATGTAGGAACCGGTAAGCCTTCCCAATTATCTGCACCAAGTTCTTTTCCTGCTTTTCCAAATGATGGCAAGCATTTCCAATTGTCCAAACCTCTATAGCAGAGCAGGGATCTAACCCTGTTCAATGTAAAATCTGTAGTGGGAAGTACCCTTGTAGCATGAAAAATCTCTAGTGAAAAGTACCCTGACTCTAATTCAAGTTGGGGGTAAACCTATTCAACACTAGTCTTCAGAGGTCAGAGGGGCAGGGGGGGGATTGTTTGAGGTGGGTGGGGCGGGACATACCCTTCTGAGTGCAGAGAAGATATTGGAGGAGAATTCTTGTTGTGCCACTTGAGGATACGCTCGTGCTCACGCAAGTGGTTGTGCAATCGTAGTTGCTCCTCATGGGAGAGTTGTGGGAGCAGGTCCTCCAGTGCCGGTCCCGTCCACGGCTGCCATCCAAATGCCCAATCTTGTGCCGATCCCATCATTGAATTGGCAATACGGCCCCAGTTAAGTGAAGGTGCTCTGTGGAAGGAATTTTTTGTAATTATTTTTTTTGCAAAGGAACTTGAAAACAATTGAATGCAGTGTATATTAGCAATGGCAATAGGTAACAAATATGGTTCAATGCCAATTTACAATATGCGTCCAACTGTGCAGCGAAAATCATTGTAATTATCACTAAAATCAATCACAAACAAATACTAGCAACTAAAATCTGCAACAGTGCAGTGACAACCCAGATTTTAAATCTGTGCAGTGACAACAGATTTATTGAAATTGGCACCGAGATGGCAGTAAGTAAATACTAGCAATTAAAATCAGCATGGGCAAGTCATCACGAAGGGAGGGAGCCCTTTTATCTTAACTAAAAAGAAATCATCACGGTTCATGACTTTCTGCACCGAAACCATGCGCCTCTAAGGGTGTGTTTGGTTGCTCGTATCCTTCTAGCCTAGCTCATCTCCCTCATCCAGGCTAAGCTTAGCCTGGTTTAGGGGATACACATGCATGCGTTTGGTTGCTTGCATGAGATGAACCTGGATATGATGAGATGTTGTTTGGTTGCAGCAAGGGGCGGATGGAATGGTAGCATGCAGGAGATGTTGTTTGGTTGGATGGATGCATCTTGTGTGTAAATACCTATTCTTGTGGATGGTGAGGTTACCCCATAAATGTAACGGAATGGCCTGGCTTACTAGATGAACATGCTAGAGAGTGATTAGTATAGCAAAAATCATGTACATAATTTCATTGACGACACTGGTACATTTGACAATTCAAAACAAACATACAAATATACGTGCTCATGGCAAGTTTTTTACAAGGAACCAATTTGATAAACAAATTAGTAACCATCTATTTCAGCTATGTTCTGCTTGCATGCTTTTGTACAGATTGCTTCAAACTCATCAACCTTAGTATATCTACACTTGGTCTCACAAGTTTTTCCATTATCACATTTTCCTGAAACATAGTAAAAGTAAACAGGATAACCTGTACCTTTGAAATAGTACAGGATCTGAGTTGCAGAGATCAGGGTGCAAGAGCATCAACACTTAATAGTAGTATAATCTTTACCAAAAGAGCAAGTGCAGAGTGTATCGGTTTCTTATCAAAAACTTGATCATGTCAAAATAAAGTGTGGTAACCTAAAAAAAATAGTACATCTGTTGATATCAAAAGATGAACAAGGAACTTGATAGTATTTGCCTGACATCAATAACTTGAAAATGTAGCAAATATGTGCAGAAATTTGACATCATTGAGCCTCATTTCCAACAGGTAAATAAATGCAGAACAATGGCCTCAGATATATGAAGAATGTGAATTAGCTACTATCATTGGTATCTGTTCTTACCAGTATCTATCAAATGTAGCAAAAGAAAAGGTATAAGGAAAAGGAAAATAAGACCAAGTGTAGGAAAAAAAAACAGCAAGAAAATGAGAACAAGTGTAGAACAAAAATCTATTCACATGCATCACAAACAGCAGCATATATCATCATTGGCCATCTTTCCCAGCCTAACAGCAAGAAAAAAGAACAAGTGTAGAAAAATATGTTCATGTACTCTTATAAATTCTGCTCAGTTCAAGTGTAGAGGTGGCCTCAGTTCTGCTCAGATCATTTGAACTATAAAATACTGAGAAAGATCACAGAAAGACAGAAACTTAGAAAGGGCATGTTTGGTTGCCTGACCTTGTCGAATAAGGAAGTGCAGGCATATCTGTTCTTATGCATCACAAATAAGCACTATTAATCAAGTGTGTATCTGTCAGTATCAATTTAAAAGAACGCACTATTGTATCTGGCCTTATTAGTAACTTCTATTTGTAGCCAAAGATACAATGGCATAACACAAATCAGCAGGAAAATAGGAATAAGTGTAGGAAAAATCTGTTCATAAGCATCACAAATCAGCAACATTAGTCATCATTGGCCATCTTAGAACAAAAAAGCAAGCCGCTAGACATTTCATTCCATCGAAATCAACCAAGAAAGATATCAGCTTTTAGTAGATCTAGCATATTTATGAAGGGGACGCGGTCTAATCCAAACAAATCGGCTGAAATCAAAGGAAGAGAGGAGAAGAAACTGAAGGAGGTGAGAAAGGGAAGGAGATGCCCAACCCAGCCCTTACCAGAGAGCTCAACGGAGAGAGTCGACGAAAGAGAGGGGCGTGGCAGAGAGAGCCGGCGGAACCAAACGGCTTGACGGAGAGAGCGAACCAGTGGAAGAGAGCGATGGCGACTGGCGAAAGAGAGGGAGGATGACCAACGGAAGAGAGGATGCTGACGGAGGACTGGCCTTCCCGCCGGCGAGGACGGCGCGACGAGCCTGGCGACGAGCAGCGCCCTCCACTCGCGAGTCGGCGAAACCCTAGCTTTCCACTGGTTTGGAACAGATGACTAGATGGGGAGGAGGAGAGGAGGGATGGTGGTGACCCCATCCATGGGTTCTGCACGCGCGGGTGCAAGCGGTCCACTCGTGGGTGCAGCCTCGCGGCATGAAGCGAGCCAGGCTGAGTTGCGAAGGTCGATTCGACCGTTTCCCCGCCTGGCTCCGCGGACCTTTTTTCATCCGTCGGACCAAGTGCAGTCAACCAAACAAACATAAATCTGCTGGCTAGGTACGAGTCAGGTACGATCCGTACAACCAAACATGCCCTAAGATACTACAAGGTTGAGAGAAAGAGAGGTTACCCTTCCCCGGGCTTAAGAGTGTCGGGCCATCAGGTGTTGTGGCAGAGGAACTCCGGGGCCATCAGGTGTTGTGGCAGAGGAACTCCGGCGCCAGACAGTAGACGAGCCGGTGTTGAGGCCGGCGTCTGCGTGGACGGAGGAGGACAGGGTCTACGCTGAGGGGAGGTGCGGCCGAACCCTAGCGCGGCGGGTGAATTACTCGCGTCCGCGTCGGGGACGAGATGTCGACGGTAGTCGGTAGGAGTTATCCGATGGCAGAGTTCGGGTAAATAACTCCAACTTGAGGCCCTCTTGATTTTCGTGGACAGCCGGCCCAAATCAATCAAATAACCTGGGCCTTAAAGGATCCATCCGGCCAATGAACCAAAGCTACGTGGTTTTTCAAATCCTTTTTCTTTACTAGAAATATAAATTGAACTTGATTGAAACATGAGGACCGCTATTATACATTATAATTGAAAATTTTTAATTAAAATCCTTCCTTGGTTATGCTAAAAGCCCTTTTTTTCCCTTTCCTTTCAACCTTAGCCCGGTCCGCTGCCTCCTACCTCCCTTCGCTCGGCCCGCCTCTCTTCGGCCTAGCATATAAGTGGAGCCGCATGACCCACTAGCATATATAGATGTGGATGAATAGAAGTCCTCCTCCTCCTCTGGAGCTCCGGTGGCATGGATAGACGTCCTCACCTCTCTTGGCCATCTCCCCTCCAGCGGCTATCGAGCTTTGCGGAGGTGGAACGACCTTGGCGGGGCGGATCAAGGGAGGTGACTCCGGATCGACCTCGCCCAATGCAGATCGAGCTCGTAGCAGTTGTCGCCGTCCCCTTCTCTTCTCCTTCGTGGGCTGCCGCAGTGCTTGGCTCCTTAGTGGCGCTCGAGGCCGCAAAGCGGCAGATCGAAGCGGCTTCGTCCCCGTCTTCCTCGCCTCTCCACTCCCCTGCCCTCTCCACTACTGTTGGTCAAGGGGCTCCCGGCGGCGGCGCGGAGTGGGTGGCCGAGGGCGATTTTGGGAGTGGGGGGCAAACTCATGGTCGGAGGACAACTGTTGACGGAAAACACGATGGCCTGGGAGATTTGCTTAATTCCAGTGCAGGTCCAAGCTTGCATCTAGTGTTAAGAGTTTGCCAGCTGGTTTGATCTGCAACCAGCAAGAGACAACATAAAATGTAATTAGATGAACGATAGCCGATCAGTCGATAGAGCCGATGACGTATCGTCAGAGCCCAGCTGGTGCAATTGGACCAGATCGGCTGTAGCTTTGAGATAAATAAGTAGAGTGCAAACCCTAAATATGCCCTATCGGCTGTAATACTATCTCTTTTGTTTTATCAATCGCTTTAAGACAATATTATAGGAATAGCCGATAGATCAGTACTTAGAGCAAAGATAAATAATTATTGGCTAATACTCCAATACAAACTTATATAATCAAATCAAACTATATAAACACGTCAAATAACAGTTGATCACCAGATGTAGGGTTTCATATCAAGCAATCTTTCTATATAAGTGACAAATATTCATAAAACATATCATGAAACATGCAATCTTATGAATATTATGTAAGATCGGCTGAACCCCCGATGCTATCCTTAATTACGAGTAATTCCATGTTAGTTTTTATGACTCTAAGCACAACTAGGGATGATGCATCGCAAAGTATGCAGAGAAGCATAAAGTCTAAATAATCAAGTATATACCCCAACCACCAAAACTAGCCGTTGGAGTCGAAATCCCCAACTTATGTGCCCTGCCGGTCAAACCGCATGGGGTGGCCGGTTAGACCAGACTACATTGCAACGGCTAGAAAACTAGCCATTGCAGTGCATTAAATGCACTGACACACGGGGCCGGTCGGACCGCCAAAGAGCAGCCGGTCAGACCAGCCACGGCTCGATCAGACCGCCATCAGCTCGGTCATACCGGCCTTGGCTCCAATGGCTCTGGATCACTAAGGCAAGACATCTCTTCAAATTCAGGGAAGCGGTCAGACCGCCATGGGAGCTGCGGTCAGACCGGACAACACACTTTCGTCAGACCACCATAAGGGCTGCGGTCAAACCGCAGGTCACTTTTCAGCTCAACCGACCGTTAGTAAAACGACGATATCTCTTGACTCGGGTCTCGAAATTTGATGTTGTTGGATTCTATGGAAAGTTTATTCAAAGGGCTATCAAGCCCATGAATAATACATCCAAGAAACATAATTTTTGTCAAGGATAAAGGGCTCACACTCCAAAGGATATCCACCGGACATACCCACAAAATGTCACTCACTCCTATTGGACATGCCCACTTCTCTCTTTGTCTGGGACTTGAGAAAACTCATCACACTTGGCTAGACAAGCCCACCAAATGCACCTACATGCATATGAATTAATATGGAACAAGATCATCCACATGCTTGCTTCATAGACCCCTCTCGATAGTATGACGCTTATCTAGCAATTCCGGTCTACACCAGACACCAAGACCGGGAAAAAAGACTAAGAAAACATTCTTAGCTTGATTATACCTTTGCCTTGCGCCATCCAACTTGGGGTCAATGCTTGAACCAAGATCAACACTTGTGACCATTTGGTTGTGTTTGGAGAGAAAATTTAACTTAAATCTCTCCGCCCAGTGAAATAAAATAAAGTAAAATGGGCGAATGTGCTAGTGTAGTAAGTACACAAAAATAAAATGGACAAAGAAAAATGCATTTTATTATAATTCTCAAGAAATTACAAAAATACAAAATCCTTAGTAAAATGCGCTCCACAACCCATCGGCGAGGTGTATCTGACTTGGTGATTATGTTCTCCTGGTTCCCGGGGTCTCGGAAAACACTTGGTTAATTACTCTCACGGGTTAGACCGCGAGACACCTCCGATTAAGCTGCGCTGGTCGTCGTCATCGATCTTCGCTTCACGTTCTCCCAGGCGCCAGCAGTGTTTGCAGCCTCGTCGGTCCGTGCGCCAATGTTGGTGACGTCGTCTTGATGTAAACTCTGCCCACCCTGTCGTCCAACCTCATCGGTCGTGATGGCATTGACACCGGTGATTCCACCAGACTTGATCACGTTAGTGTCAGCCGTGAAAAGACTATCTGCAATGATGCCGGTGGTGGTGCCGAACTCGAGATCATCGACGGATACATGAAGACGTCATCGACAAGTATATGGATGATGCAGCATTAGAGGAGGTTGCCATTGGATTATTTGATCTCTATTGTCAAAGTAGGCCTTCGGCTTGGTATAGAGGTACGGGTTGGTGTAGCGGTGTGTTGACCAACACGGTAGCACTTGAGATTTTGCCGCCTTTCTGGTCTCCACCGGTACTGGCTGATGGTCCTTTCTAGTCTCCATCGGTACTGGCTGACCACCATCAGGGTACGGAGTCGGTTTTTTCGGTCGTTCACTGGTGGAGAAACCCTTTGTAGTCCCGGTTCGTAACCCCCCTTTAATCCCGGTTTCCAAACCGGGAGTACCAATCCGGGACTAAAGATCGCTATCTTTAGTCCCGAGTGAAATAACCGGGAGTAAAGATCGATCTTTAGTCCCGGTTGGTAACACCAACCGGGACTAAAGATCGAGCTGACCTTTTTTTTTTTGCATGGCCCTGTTGCTGCATGGTTTATATATATATATATATATATATATATATATAAACCATGCATATATATGTTTCAATACATATATATGCATACATATATATATATATATATATATGTATATATATATATTATATTATATTATATGTATATACATGCATAATATATATGTATTTATACATATATATGTTATGCAAATGCATATGTATATAGATATATATATGACCAAAATATATTTACATTATAGAAAATGTGTACACATGCATATAGAAACATATGTAGTCATGTATTAATTACAATCCATTATATGTCCTAGCTAGCTACGATTTCGACGTAGTAGTAGTCGCTGCTAGCTCAGAAGCTAAGGACCGGTGAATTGTGTTTCCGTCATAGTAGAATTCACCCTTGGGATCAAGGATTTCTTCGTTGATGAATCCCATGAGTTGTTCTTGAACCGCCGCGATAAATTCCTTGTGTGTGGTCAAGTTATCCCTCATGCGAATAAACTATATGAATGTATGAAATTGATTAGTAATTAAACAAGAAATCGCTACGTAATGAAATTTTGAATTTATTTGTACGTACATCGAGCTCTCTTGTGGTGATGATTTGGTCTGCAAGGCAGTGGCAATACTCGCACACGTAATAGCCGCACAAGTTAGTTCCCTGCTTTTGCTTTGCGCACTACAAATAAATGACAAACAACGAGAGATCTAATTAATATACACTTGTATGTATTTGAATCGGAGAAATATAAATGTAGAGCATGTGTACTCACAGGAAATTTGAACTTCCGCCTAAGTCTTTCTCTCCATTTGCCGCGGACCAAATGACGGAACCGATACCAAGCCCTACATGGAGTTTAAAGCTATGATTCGTAGTAGCAATTAACATAACAAGATTTTCTTAATTAACAAAGGAACTTATGATGGTACCTGTCTATAAGTTCGAAAACCTTGTCAAACGTAGACTCTTTTTTATCCATTGAGTCATATACGTTGACGGTGCAGGCCTCCAGGTCGAAGAGTAAAAGCACCCAGTGGAATCTGCAATGTGCGTGGGATGCATTACATATGAAACACTTAGCAAGTTCGTACGGGAATGAAATTTGGTATGTAGGAAGACAGTAAAATTAAACTAACTCTGTGTTGTATGGCAACAGTATGAACGTCTTGTAATGCTGCGCCTTCAGGAGATGAAC